ACAAAGAAAGCTTGTGACATGTTAAATGACTTTATCAGCTACTTGGCAGTTAATTGATGAATTTTTGCAGTTATGTTTTTATGATCCACATAGAAACAGATATCAGGAGCCACTAGTAGACTGAGCTCAGAAGAGCAGTTTCACACTAACAGAAATGATGTGGAGGTGCTGGTGTTGGTCTGGGGTGGACAAGGTCAGAAACCACATTACACCAGGTTATAGTCCAACAGGTTTACTTGAAAACACAAGCTTTTGGAGCCTCAGTCCTTCTTCAGGTGTTAACACTAGCAGAAAGGCAGTTTAGTTTGTGGCAGTCCATGCTTTCAAAGCTAGAAATAAATCATAAAACAACTTTTGCAGTTTAAATAGTCCAGGTTTTTCTTAAAGTTTAATTAGTAAATGTCAGTGAAGAAGGTGAGAACAGCCAGAATCATATCTAGTGAATATTTAGAAAATCATTGAAAGGAAATGCTTACAACTTCATCAGTTAAGTAAGAACTTAAAGAAGTTAGATAGGGAGTGAGACTTCACTGGATTGAGTTACTGTAAAGGATATCACTGGGAAAAGGGTTGAATGTTTCTTTCTTTGTTTATGCCAAGATGTTTCTAAATTATCTTATATAGTGCTTCGCTTTTAATTTTGTGTAATAAACCTGTGTATTTTTGTTAAAAGAACACTGACAGACTCACTTGACTATGGTGAGTGACTGACCACCATGGTAACCAAACTGCAAAAATAAAACTTATGATCTATCAAGGCAGGTTTCACTCTGAGATCTGATATGTCTAGAATTACCATCAGCTGTGTAGAAGAAAAATTTTACATCACGAAGGGAATTTAGGCCAAGACAGAAAGGGCAGACATGGGAGAAACTGATGGCATAGAGAAAGAATTTTTAATTAGTTTAGCATGTGCGGTTTTAATGAGCTTAGCAGAAGTTGGGAGGTAGTTACTCAGACCACGTTATCACTATGTACATGTTATCTTAGCTAGAGCTAGAGGAGGATTTCTTTATATTTTGTCACTATACCAAGGTTTTAGGCTGAATTAGAGATGTCCCTTGTATCCCTGTGGAGCCTAGTTACTGATAAGCTAGAGCTTCAATCAAACTGTATACGACTCCCTATGCTAGCTGCATGCCGAAGGTCATTTGAAGAAGTAATTATTAAGGTATCTGTAAGACAGCATTCCTGTTACCTCGAGCAACGTCTGTTTTCTTTAAACTTACAATGAATGAATCGACAAACACAAGATGTCACGGGAACACCCTGCTCTGAAGTTAATGGTATAAAGGAGATTGTTATACTCTGTGTTAGCAGAGTCAGGTGCTGGTGGAGATCGACACTCACTCTCTTTGGTACCAAGTAAGAAAATAAACTGCTTCGAACGGGAGCTGGAGTCAAGTCTCATTATTAGTTAAGTAGAAAAAAAAATTCTACAACAAGCTGGGATCAGAACACTGAAGAAAATAAATACAATCTCATTTCCATGACAGAGAGTTGGCTGAATAATGACAGGGATTGGGTTTTGAATATTATGGAGTATATGACATTCAAGAAAAATAGAAAACTGGGTAAAGGTGGAAGGGCAACACTGTTAATCAAGGTTGGAATTAATACAATAATTAGACATGATCTTGGTTCAGAAGATCAGGATATGGAACTGTTTTGGTGGATATTAGGAATAGTCAGCATGTTCTGGAACCAACTAGATAGCAGAATCTACTAGAATTGGTAGACTGTAATATGACAGGATTAATTCATGGCCTCAGAGTAAAGGCATCAGTTCGAAAGTAAGTTTGAGTTTGATTCATTGTTGTCACATGTGCTGAGATACAGTGAAAAGTGTTGTTTTGTATGTATATAGGCAGATTGAACCATATAAAATGCATTAGGGTAGCAGAACAAATTACAGAATACAGGATTACAGATGCAGAGTAGGTGCAGAAGACTATTATTTTAAACTTAAATAATGGCAGTTCTGTGTACATGAAAGCTGAGTTACCTAAAGCGGGGTGGCATTCTGGCTAGGGAATTGATCAACTGAGGACATTTAATAGGACATTTCAAAATAGTCAGAATCATTATATTTATAAGGGGAAAGCTCACCATTTGGGTTAACTAAACCAGCTAAGAAAAACATTAAACTTAAGAAAAAAGCATATAATTGCACAAAGTTGAGTGGTGGGTCAGATAACTGTACAGAATATACAGTACAGCAGAGAATGACTCATGATTAATGAGGATAAATAAATTAGAGCATGAAAGGGAACTAGCTAGAAACATGAAAACAGATAGCAAGACTTTTTACATATATTTAAAAATAAAAAAGTAAGTCAATTGAGTGTTGGTCCTCCAGAGAATGAAAATGAGAACGAAGAGGTCATTGTAGATAATAAGGAAACAGCAGACAAACTGAACACATATTTTGCTTTTGTCTTCACTATAGAGAATGCACAAACATTCCAGTAATAGTTGTAAATCAGGAGGTGAAAGGCAGTGACAAACCTAATGAAATTAAAATCTCTAGGCAAGCTAATGAAGCTGTAGTTAACAAGTCCCCAGGTCCTGATTGACTTCATTCTAGGGTCTTTAAAGTGGTGTTAAAGGAGATAGTAGTTGGATTAGTATTAATTTTCCTAATTTCTGGATTCAGGAAAGTTTTCATCTGATTAGAAAACAGCGAACATAACTCATCTGTTTGAGCAGGGTGTGGGAGGCAGGAAACAAGGAAACTATATGCCAGTAGAGATAGCATGAACTGCAAACATTGGAGTCAGAGGCAACACAGTATGGAGCTGGAGGAACACAGCAGGCCATGCAGCATCAGAGGAGCAGGAAAGTTGACATTTTGGGTCGGGACCCTTCTTCAGAAATTGCCAGTAATGTTTTGTCCTTCCCGGGGTTGTTGTTACAATTAATCAATAGGAGTTTGTAGCTGGGCATAGAATAACTCAAGATATTTGGAAACAGCCATTATGATTTTGTGAAGGGGAAAACGTGTTTAACCAATTTATTGAAGTTTTTTTCAAGGAGTAACAAATGTTTTGGATACAGGGAGCCTGGAGACATACTGTTCTTGCATTTTCAGAAGGCATTTGACAAGGCACTGCATTAAATGCTACTGAACAAAGTAGGAGCTCATGGTGTAGGGGGCAGCATATTGGCATGGACAGAAGATTGGCTGGCTGGCAGAAAAGAAACAATATCCACAAATTGGTCCATTTCAGATTGGCAGGATGTGACAATGTGTAGTCTGTGCTGCGGCCTCACCTTTTCAAAAATCATACACTTAAATGAGGGGAGCAACGCGACAGTAACTAAATTTGAAGGTGTGACGAGACTGCCTTTAAGTGTGGTTCTGGGCTGTTTCTCTTGCAGAGGGGTATTGTTGTGGTGTCAAAATGTCTCCTTCAGACAGGGAGTTGGTAAATAGCTTTTGAGGTCTCCATGGATGTTTTCTTTTAAAATGAGATAAAAGTATCATGAGTGGGCAGGGTCAGGGCTCACTGGCCGAGGGAGGCTTTTAGTTTTGCTTTCAGTTAGTTGAGAAGATTTGTGCTGCTGGCTGCTGAGCTACAAGCTTGAGTTCCCAGCTGCTAGAGTGAAGTCTTAGACAATAAAGCTTCCTCTTAAGAATCAAAAAGGGCAAATTGTTTCTTTCTTCTGGGCTGCAAAGAAGTAGCACATGAGAACCACAACTGTTTTGCTGAATTGCCTTTGCCAAATGGTGTGTTTCTGGGATGCTGCCTTTAATGGAATAGTTGATGATTAGTGGTTAAATAATACATTATTCTGTAAGGTATTTAAATAGAATAAAGTTGCGTCAATTTTTTTTAATTTTAATTGTGTTGTAAAAATAAAGTGTATTTTGATTAAAGCCTAATGGTGGACCAATTGAGTCACATCTGGAACACAGCATCTTACGCTTGTCTTTAAATAAATATAAAAGTTAGGATTTAGGCAATCTCCTTAGAATACTTGGTGTGGGGGTGGGGTCACTCTGGTCTGGTCCATAACAGAAGTGACACAAAGATGGGTAGGAAAGTATGTTGTGAAGAGAACATAAGGAGAACACACATACATATGTATATTGATTAAGTGAGCTACCAAATATCTGTCAGGTGGAGTACAATTTGGGAAAATGTGAAGTTGTTCCCCTTACCAGAAAGAATAAAAAATTGACAATGACTGCAGATTCAGAGGTGCTGAGAGACTGAGGTGGTCAAGTGTATCACAAAGAATCAGCAAGTAATTAAGAAGGCTAATGGAATGTTATCCAATGGGTCACTCAATATTTTTAACGTGGAGATAAATATATTCCTGTGAGGAAAGGGAATCAAAGTTATCAGGGATAGACGGGAATGTGAAATTTGAAACGCAAACAAAATGGCTATGATCTTATTGAATGGCAGAGTAGGCCTGAGGGACTGAGTGGCTTAATTGTCCTCCTAATTCGTATATATGTATATTCTTGTGTAGTCAGTGCAGTGTGGCAGTACTTTCATTTCCCAAAATGGCTTCTCCTTGATGCCAGCCCAAACCCAGGGACATGTTCAGTAACATATTGAAGGCTGGCAGATCGCCAGGACCATGTCTACCAGCCTGCAACAGCTTGTCCCTCTGAAGAGTTGTTCATCAGGTCAGTCAGACCAAAGAATGAACTTTACTGTTTCTTGCCTTTGTCCTCTTATTCATAAAGCCTACCCTTCTCCCTGTCAGGCCATGAATTGTTGATTCGACCAGGTTAGTCTGTGTGGCCAGAAAACCTAGGCAAACCCACTTCTGCCGTGAATTCCACTCCACTCTGCACCCAAATTCAGCCCCTGAAAGGGGACATCAACACCGGGTCAAGGTCTGTGAAATCCACATTTTCAAAGTACCACCATTTTTGCCTTCTCATTTCATTCTGGTACTCTGTACATTTGGAATGAGTCTTAAATCCTACCCCTCTAATTTCCTGTAGCTGTGTTTTGAAGCAGTGGAACATGGATTCCTACCTCCAATTCTTGCCTAACTTGCTCTCTGTCGATCCCCATGTCTTCCCTGGAAAAACGAATGGAAAGTGAAATGGTACACGATGGTTTTGCACATCTGTTGGAACAATTAAGTGCAGAATTACTGAGCCTAAGGGATAAAGAAAGCAATTTATCAGATTGAACTGTGCGTTTTCAAATTTTTCTATGTCTCATCACACGCAAAGACAGCAGTACTAGTTTGTATGACAGAATAAAAAAAGCATTGTTAAAAAGAATTGAAATAATGAAGTGCTTCATAGTGTGAGAGTGAATAGGATCGCCCACTCACCCAAAACTCACCAGCTTGGATTTGCATTTTGTGCAAATGTCTTTTACGATAAAGAAAGCCTGTAGCAGACAGTTCCAGTCAAACAATTTAAATTTGGAGGAGGAAAAGGTCAAATAGTTGTGGGATGTGGAGTTTTTTTTATTCGTTTGTGGGATGTGGGCTTCTCTGGCTAGGCTGACACTCATTGCCCATCTTTAATTGTCCCAGTCGTGGTGAACCACCTTCTTCACTCTAGTCCTGTAGGGACGTTATGCTAAGGTTGCACAGGACATTGGTGAGGCCTCTTCTGGATTACTATGTCCAGTTCTGGTCACTCCGTTAGTAGGAAGGATATTATCAAGCTGAAGAGGGTTCAGAAGAGATTTACCATGATGTTGCTGAGAATGGTAGATTTGAGTTATAAGGAGAGGCTGGATAGGCTGAGACTTTTTTCACTGGAGTGTAGAGGTTGAGAGGTGGCCTTATAGAGTTTTATAAAATCATGAGGGGTATAGATAAGGTGAATGGCAGGTGTCCTTTGACAATAATAGGGATTTCAATACTAAAAGACTTATTTTTAAGGTGAGAGGAGAAAGACTTAAAAAAGACATGACAGGCAATTTTTTTACTCAGAGAGTGGTTCATGTGTGGAATAAACTTCCTGAGGAAGTGGTGGATGCGGGTACTGTTACAACGTTTAAAAGACATTTAGATAAGTAAATGAATGAGAGGAATATGGGCCAAGCACTGGCAGACTGGGCTAGTTTAGTTTGGGATTATGGTTGGCATGGACTTTCCGTGTTGTATGACTCTATGTGTTGTAGATACACCTACAAATCACAGTACCATGATCTCCACCATGGGTAGGACAAGAAGGTAGGTCCTGAATTCACCATAGCTGGAACAGGTATCGAATTTGGGGCTGTTGGCACCAAACCAATCTACACCGGCCAACTAGGCCAACCCAACCAACACCCCGCTGAGTTGCTGAGGCAGTATACACCATTAAATGCACGATATATCCCACAGGTTTGGATACTGATGGCAGAAGCTCCAATTTTTTTCCATCAAATGGCTGACCAGCCACATCTGGATTTACAACTTGCCAGTGGCGTCTGTTGGTAAGACTTGTAGGTTGATACTCGAGCTGTCTGGCTGCATTACATACGCAAGCTCCTTGGCCATTAAGTCTTGGGAGTAGGATTTGAATCCCTGTCTCAGTGGGGAGAAGGTCAGAAGTCACACAACACCAGGGTATAGTCCAACAGGTTTATTTGAAATTACAAACTTTCAGAGCGCTGCCCCTTTGTCAGGTGAAGTAAGGAGAAGCTTGAATAGGGGTAAATGAATATCAGCCAGCACTGATGTTTTGGATGAATGAGATTTGGTAAAACTAAGGTGAGCATGAACTAAGGTGAGGAGTGCAGTGGAGGAATCAAGTCTGGAGGTAACAAAGGGATGAATGAGGTTTACAACAGCAGATTAGCTGAGCCAGAGGTGAAGTCTATTATGAAGTTCACAAGTGTCCCAGCATTTTGTATTTCTTCTCCATTACCTGAGCCTAGGTCTGCTATGTGACAATCGCCTGGCTGAATAGCTGAGACAGCCAAACCGTGAGAAATTTGGTGCCAAGTCCCTTACTTACCTGACGTGGTGGCTGTAACGCATCTTCAGTTTGTAAACAGTCCTCCCTGCGTGGACAAACCTGGTCTCGGGTAGTGGGTAAGTGAATGCTTTCAGAGGCATTGGGAACACCGTAGGAAACCTACAAGAATAAAGCAAGAGTCAACCTTCAGGAAAAACACCAAGGCCTTTGGAGAGTCTTGCTAGAACGGCGCCAAGGACGACAGACTACAGGTAAGTGGAGAGAATGGAGAAGGTGGCAACTGTTCTTCTCAAGAGCAGAGAAGACTAGAAGATTTAATTGAACTTGTGAAATTTAACACTGCATTTAACAGAGTAGCAGCAGAAGGGTGATAACCAGAAGATGCAGATTTAAGGCGAAGAACAAATGAAGCAGAGGGGAATTGAAAAAGACTTATATAGCCATTTTGATGACTTCAGGGCATTTCAAAGTGCTTCACAGCCAACTAAGCACCACTTGAAGTATATAAAAGTCACCATAGCCTCAGGGGACCATAAGGCTGCTCTCTCATTTGAGAGAGAGATGACTGGTGGTAGTTTAACCTTCACCACACCTCAGGCAAAGGGAAAGGTTGAGAAGGAAAGTCGTTCATGGTAAACTCAGCCGGTGTGGGAACTGAACCCCACGTGGTTGGCAACACAAACCAGACCACAGAGCTAGCGTGTCCCTACACCTGAAAAAGCAGCCACCGTTGTATTGTAGAGAACCATGGCTTCCCACATTTGCGCACCGCCAGCTCCCGGTAACAGCAAAGCACTGAGCACCGGACAATTTGTTTCTGCGGCTGAGGGATAAGTATTGGGCTCGGGGGGAGCCATGGAGAATGGGCGAGGGCAGGCGGAGCCAGGGCTGAATGCCTCATCTGAAAGACGGCGCCTCTTGACCGTTCAGCACTCCCTCAGTCCCGCCTCTGGGGAGTGTCAGCCTGTAACTGTGTCCTCGAACCCGGCGATGCGGCACGATGCCGGGGATTTGAGGGTGAGGAGTGCGGCCAACCCCAACGACAAGTTGCACAGTGAGGACATCAGGGGTGGCAGACAACAGTGACTCTCAGAAGCGAACTGGACAAGATGAGTGATATAGAAAAGCAAGAGGGGTTCTTGGATACACTTATCAAAGAGTAGCTGTGAGGAACGGGAGGGAGGGCGATGGTGCCCTGCACTGGGCAATGCCATGGGGCATTATTTAGCTCTTAGCCTCGGCGTGAACACGGGCAGCAGGAATCTGCAGGCTCATTGAGTGTCCCACAGGCTAAATTAAATTGGGGAAAATCGCCACCATCCACCACTGTAGGGTTTTTTTTAATCACCTTTTACCTGGAAAACAGGAGGCATCCGTTAGTGCCTATACCCCCTTGACACGAGGCAACCGTTAGACCCGCCCCCTTCACTGGCAGGAGACGTTACTCCCGCCCCCTTCACTAGCAGGAACCGTTAGTCCCGCCCCCATCACAAACTGGAACCGTTAGTCCCGCCCCCTTCACTAGCAGGAACCGTTACTCCCGCCCCCTTCACTAGCAGGAACCGTTAGTCCTGTCCCCTTCACTGGCAGGAGCCGTTAGTCCCG